CCTTGTTAAATGTAGTCTTTAACAGATCTCAAAATAAATATCAATTTTTCATACTATACATTATAATGTTGTGATGCCTATATTCATTTGTAGCATTATAAATTATTTTTTATTTATTTAGACAAAAGAGTGTATACTTTTAATAGCAGCCATTTATTGGTAATTTTCAGCTTCTGGTGTCAGCCAGAATTTTATTATCTGTGCATCCTTACTATATAAAAAAAAAATATATATATATATATATACAGTATATATATATATATATATATAAATGTTTATTGAGACTCCTGTTTCTGTACTGATTAGTTGAGTATTTAGGCAGCCTAATGTATTTAGATATTATTTGTACTGTACGTACACTGCCATTCAAAGGTTTGAGGTCAAAACGTGTCTTTGAAAGAAGTCTCTTATGCTCAAGACTACATTTATTTGATCAAAAATACAAAAACCGTAAAACTGTGAAATATTTTCTATTTTGAAATATTTCTTATCAATGTTGAAAACAATTGTGATGCTTACCTGGAAATCATGATATATTTTATTCAAGATTCTTTGCTGAATAGAGTAAATAATAAAAACTTCATTTATTTGATATAGGAATCAATTTTTTGATCAATTTAATGTGTTCTTGCTGAATAAAAGTATTTTCTTTGGGGGAAGAAAAACCTTCTTACTGACACCAAAATTTGAAATGGTATTTACACAATTGGTAGTAATTATAATTTAATTTATGCATTTAGCAAGCGACTTACAGTGCATTCAGGCTATACATTTTTTTACCAGTATGTGTGTTCCCTGGGAACTGAACCCACGACCTTTTGCGCTGCTAACGCAATGCTCTACCACTGAGCCACAGGGACACTAAACACTAATTATAATACTGTTTCGTTGTATAGGGGAACATGCAGCGCTGCAAGCTGGTGATGGACCAGATCACAGAAGCCCGTGACTCCATGCTGAAGGTGCTGGATCACAAGGAGCGTGTCATGAAGCTGCTCAACAAGAACAGCAGCACAAAGAAGCTCAATAAGCTGAAGCGTAAGGACAGAGCGTGAGACAAACTGACCAGATATGGGACAGAGTTCAGCACGACCACAGACCCCTCCTGCACCACGGCCCCTAGCATGCAGGCACACTGCCCTGCCTCACTCGATCTCTACCAGAAGACGGTCCTGATCTGATGGAAGGATGTCTTCATCTGGCAAGCCCTTCCTTTCCCAGAAGCTGTAGGGAACAACAATGTTCAATTAACCTCAACATGCATATTTAACTGTATCTTCACTGAAATATGAATGTCTAAATGTTTCGTTTCAATCAAGACGTTTTAACTCGGTCACAAAGAGGTTACTTTAGAGAAGTTGTTGGATGTTGAAGATTCCATTTTATTCAAAGTTATACGTAATCATCCATGGGTGAACCACAGATATCAGTAAAAACAATGCTGTACATCTTCAAGTCAATAGATTATATTCACCACTTTTTCATTTGGGTGCCTTGAATGATGACCTGGTATTGACAGTCTGTACTGTATCAAACACCAAATGGCAGTATTATGTATTGGTCGTTCTTGGAACAGAAAGGTTTCCATTTTGTATTGTAGTGTTCAAAACAATAAGAATTGAGAAGCCATAACAACACCATCCTCTCTGTCCTAGGTGAACAAAGACTGAAGTATTTTACCACATGTATTGTGGGAAATGTTAAAGGTGCTTTGGTGAAATGGAGTATTGTGCCTTTCCGTGTGCCTCATATGAATGACATGGGTTTTGTGTGATGGAAGCAGTTCCTCTGGTCTAATGGAGTCTGAATGTCTGCATCATTTTACGTTCTCACGTCACTGCCTGTTGATTTGTGAGGAAAGTTTCATGAATCAGCAGTCTTGCAAGCACTGCTCCGGCTCCGGGGAGGGTCGGGGGGATTGCATTCAAGCATTAAAGGTGGTGAAAATCATGTTCAGATATGACATGTCAATCAGAATTTAGAGGAGAGATTTGATTGTGCATATGCACACAGTTTTGTATCTAAGTTAAACCTAAGTATATCAAAAATAAGCCCTCTTCCATTTTTTTTCTTCGTAAATGAACAATATGTTTATTATTCGGCTCCGGGGAGGGTCGGGGGGATTGCATTCAAGCATTAAAGGTGGTGAAAATCATGTTCAGATATGACATGTCAATCAGAATTTAGAGGAGAGATTTGATTGTGCATATGCACACAGTTTTGTTTCTAAGTTAAACCTAAGTATATCAAAAATAAGCCCTCTTCCATTTTTTTTCTTCGTAAATGAACAATATTATGTTTATTCGTCCAGTTAAGCACTGTCATTTGTGGCAAAGATGAAGCTTTGTATACCGTTTAATCACTCCGTTTCATTTTGAATGACATTTCATGTTGCACTCCGCTGCTGAAGTAAAGATACTTTGTACATGAATCTGGATGTTTGTTTGTTTTTCTACAAAGCCTAATTTAATCCAAGGTTGATATTGGTGATATTCCTTCCCATAAAAGCAACAAAATCCTGGTTTTACCACTGCATTTAAACTATACCATTTTTTAAGATAATAATAATAGTTTTATTCAAGCACACATTAAATTGATCAAAGGAACGGTAAAAATATGGGGGGAAAATTAAGCAGCCTAACTGTTTTCAACATTGATCAAATTAATTTTTTTTCACATCTAATTAGTATACTTAATATATTAATTTAAATGATATAAACAGAGGACAGTTATTTTAAACTCTAAGAATATTTAGTGATATTACTGTTTATACTGCTTTTTTTTTTTTTCAAATAAATGCAGACTTTGTGAGAATAAGAGACTTCGAAACATTAAATAGACTTGGCTGGCTTGAGCAATAAAGTTTCTTGAGGTTTACTCTGGAAATCATTTTTATTAGTTTATTATTTACTGAATGGCCAAAAGATTCAGTAAGAGAAGTATGCATTGGTCAAAAATCCAGAAAACATACTAATCCCAAACTGGTATTTTTGAATGATAGTCTATGTATAGTTTAAATAAGTGTTACTTAATTCCTTGAAACAAGCAGGTATTTAGGTTTAGTTTTTTGTTTTGTTTTGTTTTTTAAATAAGGTGCAGTTTATAGTGTTTTTTTTCCCTCTCTGACAGTACAGCCACTTTTTATTTGGATAATAAACCAATGTCCAAATCAAGATCCTTGTAGGGTTGTCTTAGGGCAGGGTGTCAAACTCAATTCCTGGGAAAATTTCGAGTTTCCCACTCGTAATAACGACTTTGTGGGGGCATTCATGTGCGTTCAACTCGTAAATACGATCTATCTGACATGACTTGAACGCACCATAAGGCCCTGTCCACACGAACGCGGTTATTTTTTAAAACCGCAGCTTTTTCTACGCGGTTAGGCCGAAGCTTATAAACATATTAAGGCCCTGTCCACACAAACAAGGTTATTTTTAAAACCTTTTTCTACTCGGTTTGGCCGTTCGTCCACACGCAAACGCAGCACCAGGTTACTGAAACCGAACATTTTTGAAAATGCCTGCCGGGGTGAAGATTTTCAAAAACTCCGGTTGCAGTGTTATTGTAGACAGCGAAACTGGAGTTTTTGGCTTGTGACTTCGGTGCCAGCGCTGTTATCTCCGCCTACTGGAGACTTTTTCAGGCTTCTGATTGGCCAACATGGCTTTACGGTTGAGATTATATCGCCACCTTTTGGTTTGGCATGTTCTTGACAGTGCTTCATAGCATGCGTTTGCGTTTTCATGTGGACGGAGATTTTTTTTAAAACGAAAGAAGGAAAAACTCAGTTTATAAAAATACGTGTGGACATGGCCTAAAAACTCTGCAGGGCTTCGGGCCTTCAGGAATTGAGTTTGACACCCATGTCTGAATAGAAAGGATTTAGATAAGTAATGTTTATCGGTTTGTAGGGTGTGACTAATGTTTGTAGTTTCTATGCACTTAAATAATTGATCCCTCCTTTCTTGAGTAATCTATTGTTCTCCAGCAGCTGGTTTGGTTTCAGTCTTATCTCCATGGAGACTAATAACACAGAACTTAACACTTTCCATCCTTATTCCTCAAACACACTAATTAATTGCGCTTATCTGAGTTGCGGCTGTAATACTTAAGCCTTTTTTTTAATGCGGATCCCTTCATGTTTTTAGGGGCTATAAAAAGTCTGAATATACATCAACCTCCAGGAAATAAAGATGCTTTGGTGTTGACCTTAACTGTGTACTTTGAAACTTGCTAGCTTCTTCTAAATGTTTTCATAATCAGTGCGTCAGTCATTTATGAAAACCACTGCTTATATGACACCCAAGCAATTCCAGTATATGTACACTGAGACTATGCAAATGAATGTAGGCCTATCCTCTAGAATCTCACAGTTTTACTGCTTAACAGCCGCTCTGACTCAAATAATAAAGCTGTCCTGCAGTATCATCTTCCTCTTACGTGAAAAGTCCAAAAGGCACATGTCATGCGCAGTTAATGGATAGGGGAATTTTTTTTGTTTTTGTTTTTTTTGAGAAGATGCACAGCATTTCAGATTTCATGTGTCAAATGTCTCAAGCCACTAAGAAGCTCTTGATTTTTAAGTACTTGTCTAACTCATGATTTGTTCCTGACTTTGTTGCAATTCAGCTCATTGGAAACTTCCAATGAGTCAAGCTCTCGGACTGCTAATGACGTCTCTTCACAGCCCTCTGTGGTTGATGGTGATAATCAGCCCATGATGGAGCAAAGTCTAGGGGCCATAAAGAGATGAACATAGGGACATTTCCTTGTTGCTGTCACACAAGCGAATGGAAAAATTAAGTTTGGACACGTATGTTTTTAATTCCTTCTTGGAATTAGTCAGTGAACTTTAGTGAAAAGTTTCATACAAGGCATAGTTTTCAGTTTTACACGCTTCAATGAGAATTACATTTCCAACTGGTTAATATATTTATTTGCTTGTCTTGTGGGGGTTTTAATGTCAATTAGATGCCAGTGGTACAAAAGGGACTGTTCAAATGGTGATGTTAAAAAAGGTGTGTATTCATTTATTTACTTCTTATTTGCTTTCTTGCCCTAAGCAATATGTTATTGTTCTGAAATTGTGATATTTGAGCTGGTTGTGAATAGTGTTTGGTTCTAAAATGTAGTTAATGTGAATCTGAATAGGGGGATCACTTCTGGATTGACTCCAGTATTGGGGTCCCTATTGGAGGGTATGTGAAGGTCTCAGCCACTGGACAGTGTTGCCTGATTGATGATGAAGGGAAGGTAAAAGCCATGACTCCTGATGACTTGTACAGTAGGAGAGACCGGTGCTAACTCTCACAAGGGCTTTTATTTGTAAGGTTTTGAGTCTAAGATCTAGTTACACAAAATGAGATTTCTCTAGCTACATGCAGTAGGTCTATATATAGTTCAAAACCATCGTACATTTTTTATTTTGAGAATTCTGTCCTTCAAACTAAAATTTCACTACATATTTTGTTGCTGATTTTGATTGCCCTTTTCAGAGTTAAAACATTTGTTAGTTTGTCTGTTTAGTCTTATAATTGTACTATTTTTTACTAATTGTTTATTTAATTTAAATATGATGCTAAATGTGCTATATAAATAAAATAAAATATTAATAAATAATTATCAATGAGTTCATAATGTAATATTATATTAAATATTAATCTTAATATTGTTTTTTTTTAAACAGAAAACCCCATAGGCTGTTTAATGACCCATATAGCCTTTTTTGCCAAGGCTTTAAGACATGTGTCTATACAGGAAATTACTTAAATAAGTCTTCTGTTCACCAAGCCTGCATTTTTTTGATCCAAAGTACAACAAAACAGTACAATTTTGAAATATTTTTACTAGGCTATTAAAAAGAACTATTTTCTATTTGAATATATTTAAAAATGTAATTTATTGTGATTTCAAAGCTAAATTTTTAGCATCATTACTCCAGTCACACGATCCTTCAGAAATCATTCTGATATTCTGATTTGCTGCTCAAAAAACATTTATTTTTATTATGATGTTGAAAATGTTTTCAGGTTTCTTTGATGAATAGAAAGTTCAGAAGAACCTGAAATAGAAATCTTTTGTAACATTATAAATGTCTTTATCATCACTTTTGATCAATTTAAAGCATCCTTGCTAAATAAAAGTGTTCATTTCTATAATTTTCTTTTCTTTTCTAAATT